ACGTAAGAGTTCTAAATGAATACAAGAATTATAAGCAATTAAAGAACAGGCAATGAAACAAAATGAAGTCATCAAAATCAAAAAAATCAAAGTAAACCAAAAAAGTTGTTACCAAGACAGTAGAAGTGGTTGAGTAATCCTCTTTTGTATGCACAGCTCTGGTTTTTATACGTGAATGGCCAGAGCTTCAGTGATACAAAGAAGGTGAAACCGTATGCCTTTGATAGGTTGTTCTTGACTCTGCAGATTACTTTGAAGTAGGAGGCGTTTGTTGAAATGGAATGATCAATGTTAACCAGATGTTCAATTACCGCACTCCTTATTGCACCACTATTGCCTTTTCGTAACCATGCTGGATAGTGTTCTTGAGTCCTCTTGGACAGGGTGCGCGTCGAACGAACAATGTACCTGGCTTCTATGTGCATATATCAGTTCACCTGCTGCAGTGGAGCCAGCATCAAAGATAGGACTTCCTTCAGGTGAACATAGAGAAAACAGAGGTGATGAAGATTCCCGGGCAACACCACCAACAGCAACAACAACAACAACAATCACCATAAATGGGAGGAACCTGAAAGAAAAAACCTCTTCTACCTACCTGGGAGGCATCGTTTCAACTACAGGCGAAACAGACGAGGACATCAAAGCAAGAATCGGAAAAGCAAGACAAGCTTTCACTACTCTCAAGTCTGTGTAGAGGTCAACAACTCTCAGCATCAAAAATAACATTCGGATTTTCAACTCCAATGTGAAGTCAATCAGTGCTACTCATACGGATCAGAGACTTGGCGCGTCGTAAAGAGCATCTCAAACAAACTACAGACCTTCATTAATAGTTGTCTTCGCTCAATACTACTCAAGATCAGATGGCCAGAAAAGATCAACAACAGGGATCTCTGGGAGCGAACCAACGCAGCAGGAACCGATTGTGAAACAAATAGGCAGGAGGAAATGGAGATGGATTGGCCATACTCTGAGGAAACCATCAAGTGACATCACTAGACAAGCCATTGCTCGAGTGGAACCCGAAAGGGAAGCGGCGAGTTGGTCGTCAGTGCAAGGTGAGGGTGACTTGGAGGAGGTGATGTGAAGAGGAGATGAAAACGTGTGGGCAGACATTGAGCCAGGTGAAGACTCTAGCAGAGAACCGAACTCAATGGAGACGCACGGCTGAAGCCCTATGTTCCTGTAGGAATTAAAGGATACAATAATAATAAATAATCGTTCACCATGACATTACAGATTGCACGCTACGTGAGTAATCGCATATGCGACTGGTTTCTTTTCAAGGTGTTCGCCTAGAAGGACAATATTATCTACATAATCCAAATCAATAAACCTTTACCCTGGTAACAGGTTACACGTTACACGGATCGCATAATCTGTTTGAAGTAACAGATATACCACACACAGCTTTGAGTGGAGGTAAACTGGCATAAGTAAATTTCAACAAAACTATTACAAGGTGGAAACTAACTAACTTACTTAATTCCTTTACGTTCCGAGTGGTACGTAGGGGGGGGGGGGCTTCAAGCTAGAGACTTGAAGTTTCGGTAGCAGTGGTTTTTTTATTTCTACGGGATGGGGTTGCTAGCCTCATGCCCCCGCCGCCAACCTTCCCTCTTTACCAGTCTTATCACTGGCTTAGCGAGCGAGGCAGGGGAGGAGTGCGTCTGTGGCCGGGGGATCCAACGCCGAACCACATGATGCGTGGTTGGCGTGCATTCTTCCACTGTGCCATCGACGCACTGTTTGTTCAGTTTAGGTTTGCCTAATTGAATGTTGGACTAAATATGCAAATTCTTCTTCTTCTTAGGCTTATTACACACTACAAAAATAATAACGTCGATGTCTTTTATAATCATCGTAGGATAAACTTGTGAATAATTCTCTTCCCCTTCCTTTATTTAATGATGTTTGGTGACCCCAGTTGATTATGTAGGCTTTGTTAGAGGATGCTATAGAATTTCGTAAGTTTGAAATTGAATTAGTGCGTGGAACAGTAGAGTAATAAATAATAACACTGAAAGTAAACGTGAAGATATTTTTGATACGTAAGGCAATTCGCTTCATGAGATTGTGGATATTCATTCATTGAAACATTAATTTTGCAGGAAGTTCACTAGATTTTTGAATGTCTTGAAAAATTTGCTTCTCTTTGGGTTTATTCCATCTACTCTTGCAGATGAATGCTGTGTCGGGCCTTCTTTCTCATCCTGACTAATGGGAAATCCTGAATAGTGAAATTCGCTTAGGATTATTCTTCCCGAAATTGTTTGTTGTCTTCGAAATAAAGCTATAACGTGTGTGAAAAGATTTTTGTCAATATTTTCCCTCTACTTATAAGTAGTATAGATGCTAATATTTAAATTTTTAAAATTAATTAAAGCTAATAGACATAATTTATATCCTTGAAATGATTGAGTTTCATCGGAGAACTTTGTACAGAAGTGTAGCAGTTCAAATCGTGACATTCCATATAGCACAGATATGGCAGATGACAAAGAGTGAATGTTTCTCCATCAATGAGGACGATTTTCAGCCGTTTCTCAATTAGTCTTTAACTACCGACTCTTAGCATCCTGAAAACCCTATTTTTATTGATCCCCTTAGGTTCCGAGTGTTGAACATACGTCTTCAACAGCACACCTCCATTTTGACCTCTTCTTTTTAGTTCTTTTCAGCTGGCTCCACGACTGCCCATAAGCTGTCATTTTATCCTCCTCACACGATCTACTTCATGCCACCCTCAATCACCCAACCTGTCGTTTCCCATTTAAGTGACACTGGAGTGTCTGGCGAGCTGTGCCACCCCGGTGATCACATCAGTGTGTGCCCAATCTGTCTAGACTTTGTTCAGCATATATGTTGGGCAATAGCTTCTTGGTCGATTCGTTCCTAGAGTTTATTGTTGCTAATTCTTTCTCGCTATTTGGTCTGAAGTATGGAGCCGGTGAAGGCAACTTTTGACAAAAGTCTGCAAATGGCTGTTCGAAATGCTTTACTTGGCGCCTTCGCCAAGTTAGTTTTTGACCCATACAGAGCAACTGAATGACTTAATATTTGGCGTTGAAAATCCGAATTTTGTGTGTGTGTGTGTGTTTTATCGTGAGTGCATAAGATTTCCAAGTTGATTTCAGAGTGTTGACGATCTGGCTTACCATTCCAATTCTGTCTCTGACATCTTCAGATCTGTCGCCTGTAGTAGTTGAAACGATGATGCCTACATAAATAAATTAGCGAAGTAACCTTTGTCAGATATAAATGATGTAATCTCCCAAGACAACCATGTTTTACTAGATGTCGCTGTCTTGGCATGTATCTTCTCGTGCACAACACAGTGTACTAAGTTCCACATTAAATAAAGAATAAATTATTAGATACACACGCGCGTTTGTCCCATTTCGGCCTTGACTTATCGTTTCCTACATTGTTGGAAAGGTTTTTTTATTATTGATTGTTAAGGTTTAACAACGCTAACCATACTGAATAAGCGTGAGCTTTTGGAAGATCTACATGTAGTGGATGGAATATGGTTTGTTCAATTCCTTTACATTCGGAGCGGAACATAGGGGGGGGTTCAAGCTAGAGGCTTGAAGTTTCGGTAGCAGTGTTGTTTTTTATTTCTACGGGATGGGGTTGCTAGTCTCATGCCCCAGCCCGCCCCCAACCTTCCCTCTTCACCAACCTTAGTACTATTAGCTTAGAGAGAGGTTTGGATGTACATTGGCCTTGGATAGAACACACCCTGGACCATATCAGGGAATAATCTCGTCGACTTAGAATATGCGGACGATATAGTCCTTCTAGGCGAGGACGCTGACAAAATGCAGAGTCTACTGAACACCTTGAGCAACAATCTTCGTATGTTTGGCATGCGATTCGCCCCTATAAAATGTAAGATGATGCTGCAGGATTGGACTTCATAGACCCCCAGATTAGAAATAGGAAGTGAAGTGGTAGAGCACGTTGACCGCTTCACTTACTTGGGAAGTACCATCAGCCCCAACGGGTTGATCTCTGACGAAATCTCAGCTGAGTACGGATACAGAGGGCTAGTTTCGCATATGCCAGTTTACGCCGTCTCTGGCGTAGACGTGATATCCGGCTGGCTATCGACCAAAGGGCGTGTGTACTGCTCATCAGTCCGCTCCGTCCTCCTTTATTGCTAGCTGTGAGACCTGGCCATTGAGAGTGGAAGACATGAAAAGATTAGCTGTCTTTGATCATAGGTGCCTACGTTCTATCTCCCGTGTGAAGTGGTATAATAAAGTCAGCAATATTGAGGTTAGGCTTCGGTCGAGTGCTAGGTAAGGAGGGGAAATCAGTCGACGAAATTGTGAAATTAGATCGACTGAGATTGTTAGGACATGTGTTACGTATGCCTAGTCATCGCCTTCCTCGACTGACGGGCAATGTTAGCTGATATAGAGTCAGGCTGGAAAAGAGCTAGCCAGTGGTGGTCAAACTAAAACATGGCACCAGTCAATGAAATCCACAACAGTTAGTCTAAGCCACGCAGGGAGATATAGACTTCCAGGTTGGGGTCCTCGGGACAGTAAAAACCAATGGTTGGAAACAATAGGTGACATTGCTCAAAATCGTTCTCAGTGACTGGCGCAGATGCATCCACTCCTTGTGACTTACGATTTCCAATTAAACTGTTTTGTTCTCCATTATTACTATTCCTTTGTCTCACACCTCTGTTTACTGTCTCTAATATGCATTTCTTCTACTTTCTTCTCTTGCTTTGTGTGCTACAAGGAGGGAGTGTGGCGACTTGAACTGCCGCACATATGTGCAAAGTTCTATGTCGAAAACCGACCGACCGACCGACCGATATCAGGTGTAGTTGGCGAGCATATTCTACCGCTGAATTGAATCACCACCACCACCAACGGGTGCACACAACACGGAAAGCATCACATCACATCAATTACCAGATATCTATACTAATTTACACTGACTCATAGTTAAGTGTAGAAGACAATATTCATCTATATACATTAATAAAGAATATTCATTCTCACTTCATTTATTTACAACGATATATATACAAACACAATAGTCAATCATAATAATAAAGGCTATGCAAAGCAGCAGAAGATTATTGTTCGGGCAAAAAATAGCCAGAAGTATAGCGGTGAGATTAGGAGGGCAATTCTGATACATTCCCCTTGTTTTTGCAGATATGTGTAGTCCACGCCTCTGTTCTACACTGATACTTCTCGATCTTAAGGAATTTCATCAGCTATACTGGACAATAAATCATCCATATCTATGAGAGAGAGAAAACGAGAAGAACAAGTCGATTTAACAAAGGTATATATATATATATAAATCACGAAAATTACCCATTTATTCATAAGTAAAAACACAGTTTTTTTCTGTTCAGAGAAGAAATTTCTTTTCAACGACTTCATTTTCAAGCTGTACAGTCGTATTTATATTACAGAAAAGGTCATTAAGTGGCACTAAATAATTGCTCGGTCAATCTACATTTATATATGTGATAAGAATAACAATAATTAAAATGTTATAGGGGGTAGAGTTGAAGTGGATAAATTACAAAATTATTAAAGATTGTTTTATAAGTGAATTGAAATCAAAAATGTTTTAAAAATGTCAAGTGTTGTCTAAAAATTCTAAAAAATTAGGAGTACGATTACTATAAGAATGAAGATGTGAAGTGAAGTGGAAAGAATTCAAGTGGTAAAATAAAATAAAGTAAAAACTAGAAAGAACATTACTATGACCAAGGTAAAGAAGGGGGTTTGACAAAACGTTTTTGAACACATAATTTAGGTTTCTGTTCATGTATAGCTAAAGCTTCGGCTATGCATAAGTGAAGAAAACGTAAACTTTTGGATCGATTCGATTTTGCCATGTAGATAACTTTGAAAGATGAATCACGTGGGGCTAAATGACCTGATTCTAACAGGTGATCACAGATAGACGACTTCGCAGTTCTACGTTCGCCTTTCATTAACCAGACTGGATAGTGTTCAGTTACACGTTTTCAGAGATTACGCTTACAACTTCCAATATAAACAGCTCCACAAGAGCAGGTAAAAGAGTAAATACACATGGATGTGGACAAAAGCGGTAATCTATCCTTGACGCATTGTCTAATCATATTTCGGCTGGTAAAACTAGTTGCAAGTCAGCTGCAGGAAAAGTACGTTTAATACATTTAGATAAACGATTTTTAATCAATTCCGAAATGGTTTCACGTTCTCGCTAAATTTAGGCTTCACAATGAGAGAGAGAGAGAGACAGCACCAACATCTTCCTAGGATGCAGATATCCTCAGAAGGAAATACATATACCCTTTCCTTTGTGTTCCAAGTGGAACAATCTCTCAGGAATATTATTATTATTGTTCCCTTGGGTTCCTAGTGGAACATAGGGCTTCAACTGCACGTCTCCACTTGCTTCTGTCTTCTGCTATACTTTTCACTTGCATCCATGTTAATCCATACTGTTTCAACTCTTCTTCACACGATCTCCTCCATGTCACCCTTGCACTGACGTCCCACTCGCCGCTTCCCTTTCGGGTTCCACTCGAGCGTTGGCCTGACGCGCGATGTCATCCAGCGGCCTCCTCAGCGAGTGACCAATCCATCTCCACTTTCTCCGGCATATTTGTTGAGCGATTGGTTCCTGTTTTGTTTGTTCCCATAGTTTCTTGTTGGTTCTTGTTCTTTCCGGCCATCTGATCTTCAGTATAGAGCGAAGACAGTTGTTGTTGATAAAGGTCTGCAACAGGCTGTTGGAAATATTCTTTGTGATCCGCCGCCAAGTTTCTGATCCGTATAGAAGAACTGACTGACTTGACGTTTGTATTGAAAATCCGAATCATTTTGTTGTTGATGCAGGCTGAGTGACGAAGATTTCCAGATTGGTTTTAAGTTGATGAATGTGTTTCTCGCCTTCCCAATTCTCGATTTGACATCCTCGTCCGTTCCTCCTGTAGTTGAGACAATGCTCCCTAGATAAGTGAATGAAGTAACCTCTTTCAAATCCCTCCCGTTGATGGTGATTGGCACTGGATGTTGCTGCTGTTTTTGTTGTTGTTGGTTGGTTATTTTCATAACCTCCGTCTTGTCTATGTTCACCTGGAGTCCTGTCTTTGCTGCTTCTTCCACCAGTTTGTCGGTTTTCGCTTGTAAGTCTTCGATTTTGTGTGACATCAAACATAAATCATCCACGCGCGAAATCCAGGTCTTCTAGGTTCTTCATGTCGGTCCAGGATATCTCTGTCTTCTCGTTTCCCACTGTCTGACGCATAATCCAGTCGACCACAATTAGGAATATCATTGGTGATAATAAGCACCCTTGTCTGACTCCTGTGTTTGCTCCAAACGCTTCGCTGAGTTTTCCGTTGTGGATCACTTGACATGTGCCGTTGTCGAGGAAAATGGCACCATAATTAGCTCCCAGGATAGACGACTGGAACGCTGAAAAGAACACTCTATGAGGAGCAGTTTAATTGGCCTACAGTCACTCTCAACTTACCGAACATCCAAATGAGATATCTGGGGAGTTTCAGCTTAGGTTTGAGAAAGATTTAGTTTAAGGTTTAAGCCAAAGACAAATTAGGGTTAGGTTAACCTAATAAACGCAACATTAGGGTTGGTTCGAGTTAAATTGCAGTTAGTTCAGGGATATTTTCACTTTAGGGTTATGTTCAGGAAAGACCTAAATAATTACATGCACAGAATGTGGTTAAATTACTCTGCGTGATATAAGAATAGAACTTGTGCACTGTGGTGGTACAGTATAATTCCATTGTGGGTAAAATTGATTTCGATAATTTCTCACAGTGTTATACAGTAATATTTAATATATATAAAATAAATTTTACCCACAATGGAATTATGCTCTGTTAATACTCCAACTTGAAACTGACAGCTACTTTTATCACATGTGAGAACAAGGTATCCTCTCTGTAACACTTTTTTTAATAGTTTTTATGCATTTATTTTTGATAAATATATGCATTTCATACACAAAAATGCCTGCCTCATGTGATTGGTGCGTTCGAGGTCATTCGCTGATTGGTAGGTAGTTAGTTAGAGGTGCTTAAAGTTTAACTTGGCCACCAGGACAACCAGCCTTCTTCTAGGCATATGTATAGTTGCCAAAGTGACAATATTACCCAAAACGGTGATTTTTTTCTCTAAATATTCAAATAATGGTTACAAGTTCTGTTATGATGCTGGATCCTTTGTCACGCGGTCACTGCTTAACCACTGACCAGTGCCCACTTAACTGGTAAAGCAGAACACGAAGAAAATCAACGGTGAAACCAGGTTCATTTATTATGACAAAAGTGACTGTATTTGTACAGAAAATAAGGTAGACTGGAAATCAACCAATCCGGTTGAGAGTTGGAATTGTGCAAGCGTCCAATCAGAAGCACGAACAATTGCATGTCAACGACTTGTTAATAACGCGATAATAACTTGATAATTGCATGTTTTGCCTCTTTCTAACAAGTTCCATCACAAAGAAACACAAAATAAAACAAAACAAAAATAAAACAACTTAATTACCATCTTCTAAGAGACCAGTTGTATCCATTGAAGTAGTATTAGTAATAGTAGTATTGTGCGGTTCATCAACTGTATTGTTAAGTGGACTAAAACTGATTTGATCAAAAGTATTATTATTATTATTATTATCACAATTCGTCGGTACACTACTGTTCACTGGTAGTGAAGTGCACTTTAATAATGCGCCTAAACCACTAGACGATTTAATTGATCGGGGAGTGAAACTGTTTGCAGTTATTTGTTCAGAAGATGTAGTGAATGTTGGCTTTTTAACTTGTGGTTGTATTCGATAAGAAGAACTGAAAGAAAACAAAAAAAAAAACATTTATTTATGAAAAAATCTGGCATTAATTCGAGTAAAGATATTATTGAGTTATACAAAAAACAAAAAAAATTCACCTAACCGGGGTAAAACAAATACATGGTAGGTAATCACGAGGCTAACACGAGGCATTGAGCGAATACTACATGCAGTCAGTGGATACTATTGTGTATGTGTTCAGTGAAACCACTTTTATATGAAGAAAGCAGGCTCTTTAGTAACACAAACAAATTTATTCAAGTATTGATTTGTAGGGATTTGGTTGATTGGTTACAGGATTTCATCATGAGAGAGGACAAATACTCGCCGAAGACATTGGCTAGCAGTTGCGCTATATCGTGAATTGGCAGAAGTTAGAATTCATGGGCCATTGGATTGGGTCCCAGTGGCTTAATGGTATACGAGCTCGCCTTGTAATAGGACGAAACAGCTGTCCAGTACTCCCTGATGGTTTTCCAATGGTTCTCTAACCAATGTCAGCTCATGATGAAATCCTGTAACCAATTAACCAAATCCCTACAAACCAATACTTGAATATCAATGAGATGCCCATTGGCGACTGGCTCTATTCAGGTAGGTAGTTACCTGGGGTTCCATCGGGAAGTCGTGACTAGTAGAATACAGCAGGTTGGGTGTGAGGACAAATACTCGCCGAAGACATTGGCTAGTGTCAGTTGCGCTAAATCACGAATTAGTAGAAGTTAGAATTCATGCACTCGCCATTGAATCGGATCCCAGTGGCTTCATGGTCTACGAGCTCGCTAGCCTTGTATCCGGAAGGTCCTGGGTTCGAACCCCTGTGGGCGCATACTGTTGAAGAGTCCCAAACTAGGACGAAACAGCTGTCCAGTACTCCCAGGTTTTCCAATGGTTCTCAGCTCATGATGAAATCCTGTAACAAACAAATTTAGTTTGGGACCAAATTAGGACGAAACAGATGGCCAGTACTCCCCATCTGAAGGTTTCCAATAGTTCTCTAACTAACTAATATCAATCCATGGCCGAACTTGAAACAAGTCATATCCCCTTACAAACTAGCATTTGAAAATTAATTTGATTCTCGCCAGTGACTGCCTACAGGACAAAATTGCCTGCAGACGTAGTAAGAAGTCGTGACCACGGATGACACTGGTTGGTGGTGGTCGGACTAAAATCATGAATGGGTAGAAGTTAGAATTCATGGACCACCAGTGCAGGTCCCAATGACTGGACGGTCTACAAGCTCGCCTCGTAACCGGAAGGTCCTGGGTTCGAACCACCCTGGCAGTGGGTGCGTACTGTTGAAGAGTCCCAAACTAGGCTGACGAAACAGCTGCTTAGTACTCGCAAGTTTTTCAATAGTTCTCTAACTCATGTCAGCTCATGATCTATCCTGTAAGAAATTCTAAAACTGAAACAACTGAGCAACAGGTTCATAGGACACACACTGAACGCTGAGTTTGTAGAATTGTGTTGGTTTGGATTGATGACTCAATGAAGTAGTCCCAAGTTGATTCTAGTATCGAAAAATGAAGTTTTACTAATAATGACTATGAGACTACAAATTAACAAGTGCCTAAATGAGACCTTTTTTAAGAATGTTAAAACGTATCAAGCTGCATCATTGAGAATAGCATTTTCCAATCCACCATTACTGTTCATTAACCCTCAGTTGACTAACTATCTTTGTGCATTTATCAATTCACCTGCTCGTATGGATCTAGGTATGATTACTATTATTGTTTCCTTTAATTCCTACAGGAACATAGGGCTTCAGCCGTGCGTCTCCATTGCGTTCGGTTCTCTGCTAGAGTCTTCACCTGGTTCCAAGTCTGCCCAAACACTTTCATCTCCTCTTCACATGACCTCCTCCTCCAAGTCACCCTTCCACTGACGACCAACTCGCCGCTTCCCTTTCGGGTTCCACTCGAGCAATGGCTTGTCTAGTGATGTCACTTGATGGTTTCCTCAGAGTATGACCAGCCAATCCATCTCGATTTCTTCCTGCCTATTTGTTTCACAATCGGTTCCTGCTGTGTTGGTTCGTTCATTGCCAGAGATCCCTCCTGTTGCTGATATTTTCTGGTTGGCCATCTGATCTTGAGTAGTATTGAGCGAAGACAGCTGTTGATGAAGGTCTGTAGTTTGTTTGAGGTGCTCTTCATGACGCGGCGCCAAGTCTCTGATCCGTATGGTAAGTAGCACTGACTGACTTCACATTGGAGTTGAAAATCCGGATCTTATTTTCATTTTCATGCTGATTAGTGCTGTTGACACCCATACAGAATTGAGAGAAATGAAAACTTGTCTTGCTTTCGCGATCCTCTCTGCTTTGATATCCTCGTCAGTTCCGTCCGCCTGAATTTGAAACGATGCTTCCCAAGTAGGTAAAAGAGGTTGTTTCTTTCAGGTTCCTTCCATTTATGCTGATTGTTGTCTGTTGTTGTTGTCGTCGTTGCTGCTGTTGGTGGTGTTGCCCAGGAATCTTCATCACCTAGGTATACAGCGGTTATTAGACTCGGACTTTGTCCAAGAGGTTGCAAGAACATTATCCAGCATGGTTACGAAGAGGTGGAAGTGAAGCTATAAGAAGCACAATCATTGAACATCTGGTCGATAGTGATCACCCTAAGTCTACAGTCTCCGCCTTTAAAATCTTCTACAAGGCGAAAAGTAATTTGCCCAAATCACTAGGTATCTGAGTCATCTCTGTAAGACTGAAGCTTTGGCCATCGAAACAGAAAAGCCAGATCTCTGTATACACAAACAGTTCGTTCAACCCCGCCCAACTTTCATGGTCTTAATCCCTCTATGCTAAAGTATGGTAATCGCCAATCATATTTTGGCTCTAACAATTTTTCATTTTGTCTATTCAATTTGTATACTCTTCCTTTATTACGTCAATCGTTACTATTACTATTCTCACTTTGAATTGTCCCCGGTATTATTTCACTTGTTCCACTTGTCATTCTAAATCAATTCTGTTTTGCAACATTAAATTCTATGTTATCAGATTTCACACATTATTACGTAACGCTTTTATTTTATTCGATTTGTCTACTAATCTTATAATTGCACACCTTTTTCAAAGTTCTATCCATTTTATGAATTATTCTATATATGACATTAATTGTTTTGCCACTTCACTTTGAACTATGATTATAATTACAAACATTTCGGTCTTAATTGCATTTAATACTGCTATTATTATTTTATGTATTCATACCTTTGTATTCACACCTTTTTACCGTCCCGAGGAAAAACCAATGGTTGGAAACTATTGGTGACATGGCTCAAAATCGTTCTCAATGGCGCAGATGCATCCACTCCTTGTGACTTACGATATCCAATTAAACTGTTTTGTTCTTCTTTATTACTATTCCTCTGTCTCACACCTCTGTTTACTGTCTCTATTATGCATTTCTTCTACTTTCTTCTCTTCCTTTGTGTGTTACATGGAGTGTGGCGACTTGAACTGCCGCACATGTGTGCAAAGTTCTATGTCAAAAACCGACTGACGACCGACCGACCTTTGATTCGATTCCCTTACCGGATATAATTTCTTATAAAAACCATATGTATATATATACGATTGTACAGTGTGGCAATAAATTCATTGAAATGAGTCTCTTCCCTAAATTAATTGTTTTGATTTTCTATATTTACCAATGGGAACTTGTAAAAACAAATCTAATCCTTACAAACCAAATTGATCTGATGCTCGCTAGTGAATTGCTAAAGGACGGAGTTTCCTAGAGTTCCAGTGAAAAGTCATAACCAGTGAGGTCCAACCAGTCAAGTGTGAGGATGGATTTCCCACGGATGACATTGGTTGGTGCCAGTTGCGCTAAATCACGAATTAGTAAAAGTTAGAATTCGTGCATTGGCCACTGAATCGGATCCCAGTGGTGCTGAATGGTTTACGAGCTCGCTAGCCTTGTATCCGGAAGGTCCTGGGTTCGAACCCCCCTGTAGTGGTGGGTGCGTACTGCCAATGATTCCCAAACTCGTGGGATGAAACAGCTGTCCAGTACTCCCTGGTCGCTTTCAATGGTTCTCTAACTGATATCAATCCGTGGTCAAACTCGTAAAAACAAATCTAATCCTTACAAACCAACTATTGAAAATCAATATCGAATAACTTCTTCTTCTTTCTTTACTTCGGCTATCTCCTACGAGAGGATGAGCCGGCTTCATGAACATCTCGAATATTCGCTGCCCAGGCGCGGCGATCTGATGCAAGGTTTTACGACAGGGTTGTCCAATTCTTGTTCTACAGACGGAGTCCATAGACGGTTTGTAGCCCCAGGCACTCCATATCAGCCTTGACTGTACCTCGTTTGTAAGAGAGTTCATGAAGTTTCATGGGAATTCGGTACGAGTGATGTCCCCAGAATCGCTCGGCCTTGTGTTTGAGAGTGCAGCTCTAGCCTTTACACAACCAAGTGTGACCTACAAGGCAGTAGGAGTGGAGGAGGGAGTCCACTATCCATTGGCACCCGGTGACCGGAGTTCGGCTCATACGCCTTTTTGAATGGGGCCAGACATCCAGGACATCCAACAAGCCCTTTGTCCATACGTCTGCCGGTGAGCTCCAGTGAGCTTCATACGCCAGTCGTTGGAGGTTTGGAATCAGGGTTTAGCCATCTCCCCTAGACTGTCATCCAATGGACAGTCAACCCGGTGAAGAGCGCCGGCATCCGCTTTAGCCCTCTCACTTTGGTGAGAAACACCTCCGCCACGTGAAGGCAGTGCCCAAGTATTACACACACATATATTTCTCAAACGCCGACTTATTTTCTTACGAAATGAAGATAACCTGTGATCTTTGTTGTCAGTTAACATTTTACATACACAAACCGCCCAAATAACTGTACACCTATGAAGTGAACTCACGGAAGGACATCTCGTTACCGATTTATGCGTTCTTCATATATATATATATATATATATATATATATATATATATAATATATATATATACTCTGTCTGTCTGGATTCAACACAGAACTTGGCACTGAAGTGCAGCAGTTCGAGTTGCCACGTTCCAAATAGCACACAAAGGTAGACAAGACAAGAAGATGAGTGAAGAGAATCAATAGAGTTTTGACAAGTATAAGAGTGAAACAGAATGAGTAATGGTAGAAAGGAATATGAAAGATTACCCAAGAGACTGAATACATCTGCGTAAGCCATTGACAACGATTTTGAGCCATGTCACCTATTGTCTCCAGCCATTGATTCTTAGAGTCCCGAGGGCGGGCCCCAACCAGTCAGGAAGTCTGCATCTCCCTATCTGACTCAGTTTAACTGTCAAGGATTTCATGGATTGATGAGGCCATGTTTTTGTTTGGCCACCACTTACTCTTTTCCAACCTGCACCTACCTATATCAGCTAGTAATGCCCGTCCGTAGGGGGAGGCGATGGTTAGGCATGCGCAGCACGTGACCTAACCATCTCAATCTATGTAACTTTATAGCCTCGTCGATTGATTTTCCCTCTTTGCCCAACACTCTACGCCTAACGTCAACATTACTTACCTTATTATACCACCTAAGGTGAGAAAGAGATCGTAGACATCTATGGTCAAAAACAGTCAACACTTTCATGTCTTCAACTCGTATTGGCCATGTTTCAGAGCCATAGAGAAGGACGGAGCGAACTGCTGAGCAGTACACACGTCCCTTGATTGATAGCCGGATGTCATGCCTACGCCAGAGACGGTGTAAATTAGCGAAAGCAGACCGAGCTTTTTGGGTCCGTGCTGAGATTTCGTCACCAATCAATCCGTTGATGCTGATACAACTTCCCAAATAGGTGAAGTGGTCAACATGTTCTATCACTTCACTCCCTATCACTAAGCTAGGGGTAGACGTAGTCCAATCCTGTAGCAGCATCTTACATTTTACAGGGGCGAATCGCCTGTCAAACATACGAAGATTGCTGCTCAAGGTGTTCAGAAATATATATACTCAATAGCCTATAACTCAATTTATAGCGTGAATTACTGTAATGTGTACAAGAACATATACAGCGAATACACTTTACCAGTGAAATAAGCAACATAAGCAATTAAGGAAGAACTTATGATCACACATTTAAAAAAAAAAACAGACTTACACTGGTTTAGAGATGGGAGAAAGTGATACTCTGTTAGACGACGGCGGTGTCGGTGGTCTCAGACAGTCAGCTTCCAAAGTTTCTACTTCAGGTATAGATAATGGAGAAGCAGGAGGAAAGTTTGCCACTGCATGTTGACCATTTAATGAATTAGGGATTGTATTTTCAGGTGTGTAAATTTTCACAATATTTGAAAGTGTTATATTAGCGTAGAATTTCTTACCAGTTGGACTGAAAATACTAACCTAGAGAGTTAGGTGGTAAGACAAAACTCGTAGTTATTACATTATTGAATAGTGATTTTATATGAGAGATCAAATAAAAATCGAATAGCACTGAGTGTGTGTGTGTGTGTGTGAGCCATGGAAACTCACCATCCATGGAGAGATTGAAACTAGGGATCAACAGATGCCTTGTTTTTTTAGAATTTAAGAAACATACACCATGAACATCAGTCGAATCTTCGCTGAAGAACCAGCAGTTCATGAAAAACAAAAGGTAAAATTCTTCTGAAACATTTAGGCGTTCTCCACTACGAATACACTTCAAAACCTATCTGATTAAAAAGCTTGATAATAAGGCAGGCAGGCGGGGGCGGGGTAAAAGATAAGCGTGCATCGGTGGTTCCAGTGGTAGAACACCCGCCAACCAAGCAAGTGGTTTGAGGGGTTCGATCCCCGACCGACACAATCCTAAACCTTGTTTGGACGAAGATTTCCATCAACAGCTGCTTATTCTACTCCAATGACCAGGAAGAATTATCAACAAGGAATTCTCGTATCAAACCAACCCCAACAGTCAACTGTCCAATAAATATGATAAAGGAAACGGAGATCAGAAACCGTCAAGTGACATCATTCGCCAGGACCTCAAGTGGAACCCGAATAAGAAAAGACAACTTGGGCGTCCGAGGGTAACAAGGAGTAGACCAACTAAGAAAGACTGCATAGAACAGTATGCAATGGAGATGTGCGCTCTTGAAACCCTGTGTTCCAATCGGAACCCACCGGGATAATATAATAATAATAAAGCTGTTAGGACTATAAGTAGATGAGAATGAGTGCTCTACATCAAAAGACGCTGTCAAACAGTAAAAAAATTAGAACTTCTAGAACTATGCTTTGGAGGTAGATTGTTTTGAGAAGTGTATAATAAATAAGAAAACGGATTATATTCAATGGCCATATAAATTTCGAACACAAAAGACATTCACCTTCTAACAAAAAAAAACAAACATTTAGAGTCACAAAATTATTTACTCTATAGTTTTAACTTTAAGAAACTCATCACTCACAACAATGTTTTATCTCTATAACAATAAATATGAGGGAACTGCTGTGAGAAACACTGTGCTAACTTTACATACGAAATATAACCGGGAGTAAGACGTTCGAAAAACATTTGAAAGTATCGTACAGTGTGGTGTTCACATTGCTACCTACCTACCTACCTACCATATGCTCTCTGTTTGACGCAAACAAAAACCAACCTTGTCTAGGCCTGGTAAGGAGATAAAGATTTCGTTGTTGAGATATACTCGGAAAACGATGAATTGAGAGACTACATTTTATGATTCATCACTAGTCTGAGAAGCGAAAATGCTTCCTCCAGTTAAAACGCCATATTGCCAACCTAACTGATTTGCTTTGAGGCATTTTAGAAACTTTCAGTCATAACATTTTCATCTCTTCAGTTTTGCTACAATTACTATCTAACATAAGATGAAAAACGTGAGATGTGATCAATTAGATGCTAAGCTACAATATCTCTCGTGTGAAGTGGTATAATAAGGTGAGCAATATTAAGGTTAGGCATCGGTCGAGTGCTAGGTGGGTAAGGAGGGGAAATCAATCGACGAGGCTGTGAAGCTACACCGACTGAGATGGTTAGGACATGTGTTACGCGTGGATGCCTAGCCATCGCCTTCCTCGACTGACGGGCTATGTTAATTGACATACGGTAAGCTTGGAAAAGGGCCAGTGGTGGTCAAACCAAAACGTGGTCTCATTAGTCAATGAAATCCACAACAGTTAGTTTAAGCCAGTCACGTAGGGAGGGAGGTGTAGACTTCCTGACTGGTTGAGGTCCTCGGGATGGTAAAAACCAATGAAGGCTGGAGAAAATCGGTGATATGGCTTAAAGTGATCGTTCTCAATGGCTGTCACAGATGCATCCACTCCTTGCGACTTATAATACCCAATGAAACTATATTGTTCTTCGATATTACTATTCTTTTTGTCTCATATCCCTGTCTACTTTCTCTATTTTGCATTTCTTCTACTTTCTTCTCTTGCTTTGTGTGCTGAGTGAAGTGTGGCGACTCGAACTACTGCACATCTGTGCAAAGTTCTATGTTGAAAACAGACAGGCAGCCGGATTCTGTCAGATAAGAGAAAAGCTGAAGAATAAAACATCGTGCACAGAAGTACATCTTTGAATAGTTGATATTAGATGGTTGGAGGCAATCGGCCGCAGGAAGCCCCCCTTCCCCCGCTTGACCTGGGTTTCGTGCTATTTGGCACTCACTGGTCAGTCAGCAAGGCGTATCTACAACCTCGAAGGAACTCACGTCCTTTCTGAGATTCGAACCCACGTCACCCAGTGCCGCCTGCAGTCATAGCCGACGTTACCACTGAGCTATTCGGGCTCGCGATTGACCTTCTGTACGACTGTATTGGATAGATAGAATTGGACTGATAGAATTCAGTCTGCATCAAACAAAGGACTAGGTACATCAAACTAGTTACTAACTAGTGTCCAATCAAAAGTATCCAATACAGTCCTACAAGAAGTCAATCGCGAGCCCGAATAGCTCAGTGGTAACGTCGGCTGTGACTGCAGGCAGCACTGGGTGACGCGGGTTCGAATTTCAGTAGAAACAAGGGTTCCTTTAAGGTTTCAGATACGTCTAGCTGACTGACCAGTGAGTGCCAAATAGCACGAAACCCAGGTCAAGTGGGGGGGTGCGGGGCTTCCTGCGGCCGATTACTTCCAACCATCTAATATCAACTATTCAAAATGCATCGTGATGGCAAGCCACCTAGTAGCATATTGGCCACATTGCAAACCTGACTTACTGATAGAATTCAGTCTGCACGTAACACCAAGGACTAGACACATTACACTAGTTACTTACTGATGTCTAACTATAAGTAAAGAAGTAAATCTGTCTGTTTTCGACATAGAACTTTGCACACATGTGCGGCAGTTCAAGTCGCCACACTCCATGTAGCACACAAAGCAAGAGAAGAAAGTAGAAGAAATGCAAAGTAGAGACAGTAAACAGAGGTGTGAGACAAAGGAATAGTAATAACGAAAAACAAAACAGTTTCATTGGAAATCGTAAGTCACAAGGAGTGGATGCATCTGTGACAGGTATTGAGAACGATCTTTAAGCCATATGACTAATTGTTTCCAGCCATTGGTGTTTACTGTCCCTAGGACCCCAACCAAGTAGTCTACACCTTCTTACGTGACTTAGACTAACTGTTGTGGATTTCATTGACTGGTGCCATGTTTTGGTTTGACCGCCACTAGCTCTTTTCCAGCCTGACCCTATATCAGCTAACATTGCCCGTCAGTCGAGGAAGGCGATGACTAGGCATACGTAACACATGTCCTAACAATCTCAGTCGATCTAATTTCACAGTTTCGTCGACTGATTTCCCCTCCTTACCTAGCACTCGACTGATGCCTAACCTCAATATTGCTCACCTTATTATACCACTTCACACGGTAGATAGAACGCAGACACCTATGATCAAAGACAGCTAATCTTTTCATGTCTTCCACTCTCAATGGCCAGATCTCACAGCTAGCAATAAAGGAGGACGGAGCGGACTGATGAGCAGTACACACGCCCTTTGGTCGATAGCCAGCCGGATATCACGTCTACGCCAGAGGCGGCGTAAACTGGCATATGCGAAACTAGCCCTCTGTATTCGTGCTGAGATTTCGTCAGAGATCAACCCGTTGGTGGCTGATGGTACTTCCCAAGTAAGTGAAACGGTCAACGTGCTCTACCACTTCACTTCCTATTTCTAATTTAGGGGTCGGTGTAGTCCAATCCTGCAACATCATCTTACATTTTACAGGAGCGAATCGCATGCCAAACATACGAAGATTGCTGCTCAAGGTGTTCAGAAGACTCTGCATTTTGTCAGCGTCCTCACCTAGAAGGACTATATCGTCTTCATATTCTAAGTCAACGAGATTATTCCGTGGTAGCAAGTCAATCCCTGAGTAGCTGAAGTGAGTTAGGGTTAAGTCCATTAGTACGTCTATGATGAAGTTGAATAGAAATGGGGATAATGGGCATCCTTGACGGACGCCACTAGTCGTCACCACTTCAGATGACAACTCGCCGTAAGCCCTCACCTGGCTGCATGAGTACGAGTAGAGTGCCTTAATGAGTGCAATGTATTTTCTCGGCATTCCCTTTACAGCCAAGCATCGCCAGAGAACCTCTCGGTCGACAGAATCGAATTCCGGCTTTAGGTCAAGAAATATAAGGATTGTTGGACGCCGGTAGGAATTCCTGTGTTCTAGAATCTATCGAAGGGTGACGATATGATCAATACACCCTCTTCCTGGTATAAAGCCTGCCTGGTTCTCTCGTGTTTGTGCCTCCCGAGCACCACTTAGTCTACGCAATATTATTGAGCCTAGGACTTTAGATAATATATTATTCAAGCTAATTCCTCTGCGATTATCACAGGAAGACTTGTCTCCCGTCTTGTATATCGGGAAAATCAGTGACTTACACCAACCCGATGGAACTTCCCCTGATTCCCAGACGGTAAACTGTCTCCACCGTACTTAAATACCTCTGGAGTCATTCCATCAGGTCCCGCTGCTTTGCCTTGTTTCAGACTAGTGACAGACAGCTTTAGTAACCTCAGTTAAGGAAGGAGGACCTGTGTCTATATCCCATTCAGGGAGGTGTTGGATGTTCGACAGGTTAAGTGTGGCTGTAGGAAAGAAGTATATCACAAGTTTAATGCAAACAAATTTTCAATATTTATATATCATACCTGTTTTAGCAGTAACAAGGAACAACAGCCTAGATAATTTTTATACTCTTTGATAACAGAACGATGAATTGTACAACCTAGAACTCCTAAAATACAAAAAACACAAATAGCCGTAGCCGTCATCTTCGTTTATATTTCACCTACCTGAATTATCTTTCAGTAAAGCTTTAGCATCCGTCGGTAAAAGTTCTATCTCGTCAAGAAAACCACACATAACTGGTATTTTACCTCTTGGCAACTGATTAGATGTAATCTAAAAGGTAAACAAAAAAAAAATGTACAACATTTAAAAATAAAAACAAACAGGAGTAGTACACTACCATTTTTAAAATTCCTTTTATAGAATATTTTTCGATTATTGACCATACAGTTGAACCACATTCCAGTTGGACTTGGCTGAGCAGAGCAGCTTCTTCGCCTTGACTAGACGTAGACTGACTTTCAGATAATGATGATGTTGATAATGAACATCTTTCAGGTGAATCAAACACTGGATTATCTTTATTCTAAAATTAAAGTTTGAAATGAAAGACTAATTTTGATACCCTTTTAGGAGATTTTAATTTCACTGAACGCTGTTTCTGATTTGTTTGCTCATGAAGCTAAAAAAGAAAAGGAATAGAATAGGATTTGAATTTAACTTTTTTTTGTTGTAGCGTTACCTTCGGTAGTAAACCTGCAGGACCTGGAAGTTTACGATGTTTAGAAGGCGGTCTTTTATTCGATGTATGATTATTTTCAACTACTACTGTTGTGGTTGTTCTTGTTGTTGTTGCTTTTGTGGGATGAAGAGATTTTGTTGTGAATTTACTGGGGCAAGATTTTCTCGGAGATAATTTTGGCAAGTTAGAAGGCAGAACAATACTGCTTTCAGATGCAAAATCATTAAACATTCCATCATTGAGAAAATCATCATCAGAATCATTGAAAAGAGTTATATCTACACCAGGGTTGAATTCCTAAAACCAATAGAAAATATACGAATCGATAGTAAGAGGTGTGTTACTTACTCACAGTGTGTGAAATGTAACCAAGTTTACAGAGGAAATTCTTTCCATTGGTTGGAGGATTTCATCGTGAGCTGACATCGGTTAGAGAACCATTGGAAAACCAACAAGGGAGTACTGGACAGCTGTTTCGTCAGTCTAATTTGGGATTCTTCGACTGTACACACCCACCACAGGGGGTTAGAACCCAGGACCTTTTGGGTACAAGGCAAGCCACTGGGACCCAATCCAATGGCCCATGTATTCTAACCCCTACCAATTCATGATATAGCGCGACCACTACGCAATGTCTCCTTCGATGAGTTACTGCCTCACCGTTAAACTGCTTTACCCAACTGGTCACAGCTTCCCTCTACAACCCTAGGTAACTGCCTGAATAGGGCCAGTCGTTAATGAGCACCTGGGTTAGAATGCCGGTGGGTGCATACCGCTGGAGAGTCCCAAACTAGGTCAACGAAACAGTTGACCAGTACTCCCAGGTTTTCCAATGGTTTTCTAACTGATGTCAGCTCGTGATGAAATCTTCCAACCAGTCAAACGAAATCCCTACAAAAACCAATACTTGAAATTGTTTTTACCTTAAATAAGCGTGTGAAGTAACTGAGAGTCATTGGGATAGACATTCAGTTTTGAAATAATAGACCACTCGCTTGAATCCTGCCCAGCCTACTAAAGTTTCAGCCTTAATACCACTTGTATGGCTCATGGAAAATGCCCTAACTTATTATTATATTACTAGTTTCCTGTAATTCCTAGAGGAACATAGAGCTTCAGCCGCATGTCTCCATTGCGTTCGCTTCTCTGTAACGTTTTCACCTGGCTCCAAGTCTGTCCACATGCTTTCATCTCCTCTTCACATGACCTCCTCCTCCAAGTCACCCTCACACAGACGACCAACTCGCCGCTTTCCATTTGGTTTCCACTCGAGGTCTTGTCTAGTGATGTCACTTGATGGTTTCCTCAGAGTATGGCCAATCCACCTATCTCCATTTTTTCCTACATATTTGGTGTACAACTGGTTTCTGCTGCCTTGGTTCGTTCATTGCCAGAGATCCCTGTTGCTGATCTTTTCTGGCCAGCCATCTGATCTTGAGTATTGAGCGAAGACAGCTGTTGATGAAGGTGTGTAGTTTGTTTGAGGTGCTCTTCATGGCGCGCCAAGTCTCTGATCCGTATGGTAAGTGGCACTGACTTCACATTGGAGTTGAAAATCCTGATCTTAATTTTCATGCTGAGTAGTGCTGTTGACCTCCGCACAGACTTGAGAGAAATAAAAGCTTGTCTTGCTTTCGCGATCCTCTCTGCTTTGATATCCTCGTCAGTTCCGTCCGCCTGTAATTGAAACGATGCTTCCCAGGTAGATAAGTAAAGGATGTTGCTACTTTCAGATTTCTCCCATTTATGCTGATTGTTATCTGTTGTTGTTGCTGTTGGTTTTGGCCAGGAATCTTCATCACCTTTGTTTTCTCTATGTTTACTTGAAGTCCTATCTTTGATGCTTATTCTGTCAACTTGTTGCTTTTCACTCGCATATCTTCCAGTTCGCCCTAACTTGCGTACATATTAATTAACATGCAGCATTTCAAATATTGGCTGTTTCAGATTATTAGAAACTCATCAGGAATAATTAAACAAATTAACCAAAACAAGCGTCAATAAAACAGTAAACACAGTACTAATTGTCCACAAAAGACAAAAAACATACGCTGAAATGCCAAAAAATTAATACGAAGTCATAAATAACAAAAAAGCAGGTTTCTATGGAGTATTCAGGACTTCATACACAAGGAAGAATTAAGAAAACACCAGTTGACATGAACACACAAGTAATCAACCAAGCATTTTTGATTTATGTGAACAGATCTGTGAAAGTGGCAGCCAGCTGAGACATGTTTACTAAAATGTGAAGTGGTTACCAGTGTATAAACAGTGCCAGAGACAAAATTACATATGCAGTCATGGTTTTAAACAACAGTAATAGAGGTTGAAGGTTTAAGAATGTTTTGTAAAACATGTATTTCATATCAACATTATGAGAAAGCTTGCTGATTTTGACAGAGACATCAACATGTGAGACCGACTTACGGAGTAACTGCACTATACAAAGCAGAGTGAAAATATTTTGAATACTGACTGAGCGCAAACCAGATAATAGTGCAGTTTCTAAGGACAGCATATCGGAACATTCTTTTATTTCCACTTCACATCAATGAATCGCAGACAATTTTTAAATCACTATCTCTGTAAATCGATGAAATCGAAGTCCGGAGGGTTACTCACAATAATGTCAGGGCCTCAAAGATTGACTAGCCAGTATTCTATTGGTGATAACTAGGTGTCTCAGTGCTGTTTTGAATTAGTAAACAAAGGTACATACGACTTGTCGTCAGCCAAAGCTTAAGAACAATGACTACAGCTGAGGCGACCCGAATTCTACATGTGCTTTGATGAGACTATACTTAGAATAATACCTGAAGAGGGGATTCACTCTGAAACAAGTTCAGGATTTGTGTGCCAAGTTTTTAATGATGTTCTTCCGCCATTATTTTATAAAAAATATCTTTGTGAAACATCTCTAAAAATATTTGAGTTTCCTAATTTACTTACTTCTGAAACTAATTATACTAAAGGTCACTATAGAAAGCACAAAAAGTCCGCTAAATATTCCATACGAAGTTCCCTTTGTGAGACAGATGACAGTGGGAACATGTTAGTGAAACTAGTAGTAGTAGCTTCTTAAGTGAATGATTTGAGAAGAAACCCAGATTCTCTCAGAAATGCCTATAACAAGGATCAATACAAGCTTCTCGGTTACGCCTCGATTAAAACCGAATACAAAATACAAAGAGTTTAACCTCAGCAGTATCTGTTAGTCATACAATTAAAAATATATGCTGTTTCAAGTCTGTGATAATAGATACCAAGTGTAAATTGCTAGATACTGTAAACAAACGAAAATACAACTTCTCAGTGGTAGAAGAGAGGGCTATGACCTAACTAGTCTCCCTCATCAAGCAAATGGACGTAAAACAATGTCTACCTAATCCGCCAACCGAACAAATGATCGTAACGCTGCCATTATGAATAGCTTCACACATGTGGAAAAGCGATACATCTACAAAAAATTGAAGTAAGGAAAGCCATATATGTGTGTTAAATGGAACAGTAGTGCTGAAAATGTAGAAATACATCATTTCCTTACAGGGATGTCGGTTTCAAAATCAAATGATGGTTTGTTGGTTAAATATTAACATTAACAAAATTTCTGATGCTACAACTTCAAACCGTAGTAGTTCTATATTAGATAAGTTTATTTTTAATAACCACATAGTGTGATGCAGTATTAACAACTGGATGACGTTTCCAGTATGAATTATTACTCAGATTAGCCTTGAAGTGAAAAGGCACAAAAATTGTTGACGTGCGCAAATTCTGATGTTGTATTTCAATACTCTTTGGACAATGGGATTACATTAAAAGACAAAGATGTACCAATATTGAGAGAAAATAACTGCACAAAAGCTGGTGATGGATAATGATACAAGATTCTAACGTGAGGATAACCTGTAGCGCCCATCATGATCAACATTACTGCAGACCTTGGGCAACTAATCTGAGATCCGTTTACATTTCTGATGCTGCATATTAATCCACTCCATAATCTCAGTCAACCTAAAGACCATCTATCCTGTCAAGATTCACACAGTAATCAAACACTCGGTATTCTTGTAACTCTTTATGTATGTTTGGGACAAAAGACATCATTTAAATTCGTTATACCACATGAAACTCCAGTTGATTATCGATAGCCCCAGCTGGTATTTTCTTCGGGTGCACTGTAGGAAGTTCTACGGTGCGCCAGAAGTCATCTTCCCAGATAGCATTTTCTCCGGGTGCACTGCAGAATTTTCGAGGTAAAAACTTCGTGGGAACTGCACAACGTGGGACATTTACCTGAAGTTCGCCTCATACATTCTGCGGTGCGCCCAAAGTCAATGCTAGCTGGGTTACCTCGGGGCCAGGTACTGGGGTTGCTGATATAGTTTAACTTGGCGAATTAAACGAACTGAATTCTTGAACACATGAAATGACAAACAGTCATCCGGACAAATCCATATGCCACGACTACATTTATGACTTCAAGTTTGGTTTATCACTTAAGTAATTCTCTCCATGTTTATGAGATTATTTATTTAAATCAAGCAGAGTGAAAACATCTACTACGTCCAAACTTTCCATAATGTCAAACAACTCAGCGTCTACAGCCTTCAATCATATGTCACTTCTGATAATCAATACATCGGCGTAAATAATCTGGAGTTGCGCAACATCTGAACTCACCGCCCATGCTTCCCCCACTAGATTCCTGTGGAATCAATTGAGCAAACATATAAGTGCAATATTTGCTTCCAGATACAGTGTTAGGCCTGGATGTTTTTCTCACCTGACTTTTAGTGTTGAACAACAATTTTAGTAGTAGGTAGAGTGGGCTTCACAAAGGCTAGAGAAGCAGGTTGAATTTACACAATCAGTACTGGATATCTGTTCACCTGTTTCAGAAATAAAGATCTGGAGGCGATAACGGCAAATCGTGATAGTGGTTGTGTGGTTGTAGTGATGAACAATCCCAAGATCCTGCACTCAGTATCCTCATCAGCACTAGATACTGGGTGTTTTTTCACGCCCATTATATCGCATTCTTTCATCTAGAAATATTTGGTCAAGAACCACCACCATTTAGCCGCTTGGCTAATTAAGCGAGATACCAACCCAGATATGAATACACCGAAGCTTAGTAACAACATTTTGGAAGTGGACATTTTTCTGGCAGTTAAACTGTCGAACTTGTTGAGACATCCATGGATGTCACTTAACAGTCCCCACACGTCTTCTACGCTAACGATCTTTCCTGTTGTCTTTGTTTTGACTGAATAACTCCTACTGCTATGACGATAAAGTCACAGGAAAACTGGACTAAAGGACTGTATTTACACACATTCGATATCGCGTTACTTCCTGAACCTGTAGAAACGTCTCAGCGAGCAATTTCCCCATAATTACTGTTTGTAACGTTATTAAATGCCACCAGCCTTATTTGCTTCAAGTGAAAAGCTAATCAAACGATCCAATTTGCCTTGCCTTCCACCCGGGAAAAACGGAGGGGTAGTCCATGCAGATTTTCATGACCATGACTTCACAAGACCTCATCCGTAATCATACCATGGGTGTCCAACGCGTCCATCTTCCTAGTAATTCCATCCAGGAATTAAGTTAACCAAATAGGTTTCTTTCGAAAGCATCTCATAGGGTAATGATATACCGCTAGAAATATTATTTGAGACATTTAAGGGGATTGTATAGTTGCCTAAAGTTTTGTCTTTCTATGGACTATGACATTCCTCTTTCAAAATATCATGCCATCCTACATTTTTCCCTTCTAATTTCTGTATTATTCGAGTGTTGTGTGCTTTGGTGCGGTTTATTCTATTATTACCTCGGAGTTCAACAGTAGCCGAGTGGTCACTCGAGATGATTTTCGATAGACTGAAGGTCAGAAATAATTTGTAATCAAAATACAAACTCGGTTGCCAGAACCACTTGGTGAGAAGGAAGCTACGACTAAAGCTATTACTTCTATTATCGAAATGAATGTCGATGTTTATAGGTCAGATAAAATCAGAACGCTGCCTTAACTTTTAGAACTTAGACTACGGTTTTAAAGCCCACGAAATGTGAACACTTCTACAGTGGGTTTTTTAGCGTATCGTTTTACTGGTGTCGTTTATCACGTAATGACTGAGCCCGGAATCATCGTATTGCCGTTACTCCAGTTCAGGTTTCGTCATCCTTGTGTACCTGCATCACACTAAGTGGTAATTCTCCACTAACAATTTTCAGCAGTTATATTCTCCACTTTTTGGAATTCAGCTATACAGTGCCCCTGCTTATGTCAGAGTTTTAAGTGCTTCACTGGTCATGAGCACTGCTGATACTAATAACACCAATCACTTTCATATTAAAATATGCAGTTCGCTGTCTCTCTGTGTACATATATTCTTCGACATATTCTTTCAACAACCCATGTATTTAAGAAGCATGCCTACACTACTGTGCGTTGATGATCGCAGCCCCATGCATTCAAAGAAATGGTACAAGAAATATCACACATTGCAAGTCTTCCTCACAGAAGTTAGCGGGCTGAAGAATAAATGCGCATGAAAGGTGGTTGTGCAACAACTTCATAAGAGCAAGGTACGTTCGTCAAGTGTAGGAAAGCATGACAAGGAAAGGTATTGGGTGCTGATTGCTGGATTTAAGGTTGAGGAAACGCAAAGCCCAGTCCAATTTTTGTTACCACATACTCATATATGGATGCTTATTATGAATGCCTATACAAACGACCGAATAATATGCGGGAAATAACGATCGAACTGACACAGCCCCTATACCAGAGGTATAGAAAACGCAGCTAACAACAGGTGGAAGCGAGAAAAAATGTGAAGCTAGTTAATCGGCTCTGTGAATAAACTGATACGATTATGAGCACTGAATTTAGCTCGACTTGTCATCCACTCATGAATACTGTGTCACTGCGTGTTACATCAAAGTAAAGAATTGCATTCCACCACAGTGCCAAAGTTCTGCGCTTACACTGAAGTGCGTGCAAGCCAAAGCGCTTGCAAATATGTGGCAAATTTGACTATTGCTAACATTCGATGGTTAACTGGCGAGCTTTTAAATTTGCTGCGGTCCGCCAAAAGTTTCGTGTCAGCGAACCCCAAAAAGTACTTTTTCGTATGTGGTCTCGGCTGACTTCCACTGCCAAGTTGATATCACATTCAGCGACTGAGTTGTATACAAAGACTGCTAGACACATTGAAAATACATGATTAACATGCAGTTTTTACAAGTATGATCATACCTGAGATAACTGCACAATAAATTCAGTTGTGACAGTGAAACAAGAATGGTACCTTCGAAGTAAAAATTGATTTTAATTCCCACGAATGATTATTCATTTTGTTAAGCGTATTTTCATTTTTCAACCAGATTATTTGAAGTGGTATCCAGAAGTAGTGAAACCCCGGTAAAATGGACGCTGACAAGAGTCCATCATCTAATCCTTGAAGCCACTTCTCTCTGAAATGTCACTTATATACCTCACGATAATCCTTCTGCCTAATTACTATTATACTCTATTTTATCTCGACTTCCTAGGACTTTAATGAAGCTGAAATTTACTTTTTATTCTTTTTTCTCATTTACACTCTTCTCTCGCGTAAAGTTCGGTTGCTCTGATGATAAAAAAACAACACTCATGTTTGAGAATAACTTTATTTTCCATGGTAAGACCAATATGGTTAGCATCATACATTGCAAATGTGCACTATCATATCAAGTACTGTATAGCTTGTTCTTGTATTTTTCTTGTAAATATACTTCCAATAATATGTTATTCATGATTGCATTTTATACCACTTTGTAGCTGTGCAGGGTTTTCTCCTATTCCTGAAAGAGCGTTTAAGCACGTGGGGTCACAGTACTCACTCAACTATATGTTGTTTATCGATAGGCTATTACTATCATCAAGAAATGGAACGAAGTATGGGTTGTCGCTCAAATTCGATGGAGACCTTCGTGAAAGATTTACAAATTAACAATTATCAGAATCTGTTCCGATTGCTTGTACTATAATTCAACAATTTCAACCTTTTAAAAATGTGATAATGTATGCTAATTCACAATTGTTATTCGTAACATAATTGATCGTGCCTGTAAAAATAGCATGCATTTCACGTAAACTTACCTGTTTATACGAAATATAAATTATTATTATCAAGAAAACCACGAGGATAATTGTCTCTGAAAAGCTAGCAGAGAAAATATTTTGGTAGTAGCTTTCCAACAGTCAGCTACTTCAGATGAATATGAATTCGTTGAGAACATTCATAGTGAGGACAAGAATAGGTGTAATACGATCTACTTCAGTAGGCCTGAAAGGATTTTATCAGCGGCTTTATATACAGCATAACAAGAAAGGCCGAATGACCGGGTTTATTTAAATAGAACTAACATACTTAACTATCTGGCGGCCCAACACATATTTTGACGACAATACAAAGTTGTGCAACCAGAACAGTTCAAAACAACTCATTAGTTTCTACTGTATTTTAAAATCACGACTGAATGTTTAACTTTACCACTGGCATTTTTATCCACAGATACCTATTTAGTATTTCAGGAGACATTTCCTGACCGACCGCGCTATTCACGTAAGTCCCCACACAGGCTGGATTGACTGTGAGTATACATCTGAAAAAAAACATTCGTGAAGTGCACATTTTTATGTGTTGCTGTAATGATTCTGTAGCTAACTATAAGGCGTGAGGTGCACCTATACTTAGTCTTTTCCTTTGACAAGTGACCTATCCATCTGACAACCTAAGACTGCAGATTTTTCGTAGCCATAAAGACTGGAATGCCCAAATTCAAAATACCTTTTCCGACTATTTCGCAATACATTTCTATATATAGACTCCTATTGTGGCCAAGAGGGTTGCTTTTTCTGGAAACTACGGATCACATTCGTTGGCAGTACGTCACCTGTCATCAGTGGCCACCTGCTCAAG